ATTACAGGCGTTGGTGCGATGCCGTGCCGTTCATTCTGAATGGGACCCCCAACATGCCTTCTCATGGGTGCGCATCGCGATGCAACGTGCGCACCGCCCCTCGACGCAGTTGCATGTGCTGCAGCATGCGCTGCAATACATGTGAATGAGTATCACCGCATTGCGCCAACGCATTTAACATCCGTGGCGGGAAAGTGTGCCCTAATGCGCGCGTGCGTCCCCATCACGTGAACCCTAAAACATTACAGGCCTTCTGTTCATATTGGAGGGCCGTTGGATGGCGCGAGCCAGCGTCCCCGTCGGTCGCACGTCCTCGGAGGATTCTGCAGAGGAAGCGCACTGATTGCATGTGCAAAAGCGATGCGTCAGCGGCACGTCCTTTCTTTCCCCGCGCTGCCCGCCCCTCCCCCTTCTCTCCCTCCTCCCCTCCACCAGCCGGTAATGGCTGCCCTTCCCCCCATCCGCTGTCAGGCCTCCTGTATTCTCTTTCATTGGGAATCTTGCCGCATCAGCGTTTCTAATTCCCTGCGACTCAGCCGAGGAAAGTAACAAGGAATCGCCGCCGCGCTCCGGAAACTTCCAGGACGAGAATACCGCCTAACCGTGCGACCGCGGATCTTCCGCCATCATTAGATGAACGGTCAACGCAAAACATATTTCTTGTATTGTTTATATATAGGGATCGATCTGCTGCAGGCAGGAGGAAGCATTTCCTCATTCTCCCCTCCCCCAGTGATCAGCCTGCTGCAGGCAGGAGGCAGCATTTCCTCATTCTCCCCTCCCCCAGTGATCAGTCTTCTGCAGGCAGGAGGAAGCATTTCCTCAGCCTCCCCTCCCCCAGTGATTAGAATGCTGCAGGCCGGAGGAAGCATTTCCTCAGCCTCCCCTCCCCCAGTGATTAGAATGCTGCAGGCCGGAGGAAGCATTTCCTCAGCCTCCCCTCCCCCAGTGATTAGAATGCTGCAGGCCGGAGGAAGCATTTCCTCAGCCTCCCCTCCCCCAGTGATTAGAATGCTGCAGGCCGGAGGAAGCATTTCCTCAGCCTCCCCTCCCCCAGTGATTAGAATGCTGCAGGCCGGAGGAAGCATTTCCTCAGCCTCCCCTCCCCCAGTGATTAGAATGCTGCAGGCCGGAGGAAGCATTTCCTCAGTCTCCCCTCCCCCAGAGATCAGTCTGCTACAGGCAGGAGGAAGCATTTCCTCATTCTCCCCTCCCCCAGTGATTAGAATGCTGCAGGCCGGAGGAAGCATTTCCTCAGTCTCCCCTCCCCCAGTGATCAGAATGCTGCAGGCAGGAGGAAGCATTTCCTCAGCCTCCCCTCCCCCAGTGATTAGAATGCTGCAGGCCGGACGAAGCATTTCCTCAGTCTCCCCTCCCCCAGAGATCAGTCTGCTACAGGCAGGAGGAAGCATTTCCTCAGCCTCCCCTCCCCAGTGATCAGAATGCTGCAGGCAGGAAGAAGCATTTCCTCAGTCTATGTACTTTACATACTGAAAACATAGAACTGATGACAGGTCCACTTTAGAAATTTAGAAGGGCAATGTGCCAAATGCAGTAATGAAAAGCAACCAATCACAATGCAGCTTTCATTGACCTGATTTAACATAATCTGATTGCCTATTGGTTGCTGCCCTTTGCACATGACCCCACCCCCCCCCCGCCATAACCAACCCTATGGATTATTCTGCCATCGTATATCTTGGAAGCTGCGTGTCAATGACAAGACGGATCCATCCCGGGGAGGTGAATGTCATTGACCTAAAAACATTCACCCGTCTGCAGTCAGCCACTCCCCGGGCTCAGGCCAAACTCCGCCCACACGAGCACATTACTATACAGCTGAACTCCGGGCACAAGAACCTTCATATAAATATCTATAAATAAACCCGCTCTGTGCGCTGCAAAGAACTTGACAAAGCCAGCTATTACCATGGAAAAGTAGCAGTGACATCATCACTGTGCTGTACAGAGAGCAGAGCTGTGGGAGGGGCCCGGCAGGTCCCACCCACTTACAGGCTGCCTGTAGAGAACTACTGGAGGTGGCGGAGATAGGACCAGTCACCCTGCACAAGGGTTCACACTTGCCTGCCGCCTGCCTTGACCTCTGCCCTGACTTTGGCCACTCTTCCCTGCCGCCTGCCTTGACCTCTGCCTAGACTTTGGCCACTCTTCCCTGCCTCCTGCCTTGACCTCTGCCCAGACTTTGGCCACTCTTCCCTGCCTCCTGCCTTGACCTCTGCCTAGACTTTGGCCACTCTTCCCTGCCTCCTGCCTTGACCTCTGCCTAGACTTTGGCCACTCTTCCCTGCCTCCTGCCTTGACCTCTGCCCAGACTTTGGCCACTCTTCCCTGCCTCCTGCCTTGACCTCTGCCCAGACTTTGGCCACTCTTGCCTGCCTCAAACTCAGCCTGAACCTTGACCACCTATGGAGCCGTTTACCCATCTCCACATTGTGACCACCCTGCTCCTGCGGGCCCCTTGATGTGGCGATCCTGACGGCTGTGACGTGCTGACAACAAGCACCCCACTAGGGTCCCCATCCCATCACCAATTGTGGGGTGATACGTTGAAGACAATGGTGTCACTAGACCTGGGGAGTCACCCGTAACAATAAAGTTACCATTCCACTCTCCTATCAATCAGTGATGTTCTGCAACCTCCAATGTGAGGAAAGAACAACTTCAAGCAAGCCCAGCATGCTGGGAGTTGTAGTTTTTCTTTATTTGGTTAGACCAGCATTGTTAGTCTGTCCCAATGTCACGCTGGTCACCCGGCCCTACGCCCGCCGAGTACACTAACCCAACACTGCCAGAGATTCCAGAGACTTCATACCTACTGAGAAGAGATAGGGTGTCCCCCACCCCCTCCCCCCCTAGGGGTGAGGGACACCCCATGCTGAGCCGCCATGATTGAAAGAACTGAAATCCAATCAATGAAATGGGCGGGACCAGGGACAGTCAGGCTGGGGAGGAAAATCTAGATGATGCTGGATGTCCTCCAGCCAGGAAAGGAGGCGGGCTCTATCTGACTTGCTGCAGGAAATGAGGCGGGCTCTATCTGACTTGCTGCAGGAAATGAGGCGGAGCTCTATCTGACTTGCTGCAGGAAATGAGGCGGAGCTCTATCTGACTTGCTGCAGCTTCTAATGCACATTGTGAGAAGCTCCGGTGTGCAGAGAAATCAGAGGAAGCCATTTCAGTCCAGGAGAAGAGCCGGTACCACTGTGCAAGACTGAAGTTTCTGTTTTTTTTGGGGTTAGAAGAAGGTAAATGGTCAAATCCAAAATTATGTAAACTTTTTTGGATAGAGTAGGGAAGGATCTCAACCTTCACCTATGTCCCATTGGAGAGATCTCCCTTCACTTCCTGTCCCTGAGACACAGCAGGAAGTAAGAGATCTCTCCAATGTAAGTGGATAAGAACTCTTAGCTGTTATCTTCAAAAATTTTGGATTGGACCATCGTG